CAGCTACAAGACCAAAAGTATGATGCGCGAGACTGAAAACCCTGCATATAGATATATATATATATATATATATATATATATATATATATATATATGTGTGTGTGTGTGTGTGTGTGTCAATGAGAGGGTGTGTGTCTGTGTGTGTGTGTGAGTTTGTGTATATAGACACCTGTGTGTGTTAGGGGTTTGTTGCAGGTCTCTTCTCTCGGTCTCTTTCTGATTGGAGCTGTTGGCGGCGGCATCAATGTCCTGAACACAAGAAACATCTCAAGTCACTCACGTGTCACTAACTAACCCATTCTTAACCCTAAACCCAGATGACTTCACAACACACAAGGTTAAACCAAACGAAACCTGTAACACACATTCAGATACAGCGGAGAATCAATGTATCAGAGCGATCATGTGACAGAGCGAAACCCTAACATACAAGCACATGATCATAAAGACTACAGGAACTATTACAGCACATGACTGAACACAGAAACAGACGGAGACCTGCTGTCGTCTGCTGCACTGACGTCCTTCTCCAAAACATCTGCGGAGATCTGAGGACAAACACACACACGTCAGGTGAGTCCCATAATGACAGTCACTCAATCACACACACACACACCTGTGCTTTCTGCTCCTCTTCTGCATAGTGTTGCTTTGGACTGGAGCCGCCGTCTGCTCCGTCTGATGCTGCATCCTCATCCTGACACACACACACACACGCCACACACACACACACACACACACACAAAGAGCTGGTTTAGTTAGCGAGTGGCTGAGGTTGTCAGTGTTCAGGACAGCTGAACTCAATGGCAGTGACTCTCACCCGCAGCAGGAAGCCGCTCTGTTTGCACACCGGATACTGCACCGCGCCGCTGCTGAGCTGTGATTGGCCAGTCGCTCCGCTGGAGTTGTTCCAGAAGGCACCGGGGTACGTGGGATAGGAGCTCGGGTAGCTGTACCACGACTGACTGCCGAAGCTGTTATTTGCAGAGTATCCATGTGTCGGGTAAACTGAACAAAAACAGAGTGCATTAGTTCATAAGCTCTCAAGACGAGCTTCATAGCGAATGATGACAGACCTGACTGACACACGCACACACACACACACACACACACACACACACACGAAAGACCACTAGCGTTATAACAGACGTCTAATGTGAACAAACAGCTGGGAGAAAATCAGATGTGCGTCAGTATATTATACAGCCAAATAAATCTCAATAGCTGTGTCAGTCGAGCTAAACTGTTTCAGAAACATCATGTTGCAGACATCATCTGCTGCGGTTGTGCTTACATGCACAGCAAAAAGCATGCCCGCTGTGAGCTTTAAAACATGAAGTCCTTCTGCAACCGTCTCCTTAAGTGTGTGTAAACATGGTGATTCAGTTCAGAACACGAGCATCGGGTCAAAGCAGGAGAGAAAACACACCTGGAGCAGAAGCTGTGGAGGGATACGACGACATGATCCCCGCGTGATCTGCCCGCACCTGAACAACAACAACAACAGACTGATCACACACATGCCACGCTCAATGCAGAACACGCTCTCTCACACACACACACCACACACACGCCCTCTCCCACACACACACACACGCCCTCTCACACACACACACACACACACACACACACACACACACACACCGTGTCGAGGAGATTCTCGCACAGCTTCTTGGCCGCGTCCAGTCCGATGGCATTCGGGTGGCTGTAAGACACACACTCCGTCAGAAACACACATGTGATCACAGAAGCGTGAGGAGCGGCGGAGCGTTACCTGATGTACAGATAGAGCGGCTCGAAGGACTCGCGGCGTGACGCCTGCTCGATGTATCCAGAGCCTCTGCCTCGGAGGAACACACGAGCGCCGGTCTCAGACTGAATGTGCTGCAGGTACGAGCCAGATGGCCCCTCCACACACTCTCTCACGTTAAAGGACGGCTGCGACTGCTCCAGGCCTACAAATATCTTAGTGTGCACAAAACTCTGCAACCAACAAGACGCCACAGTCATTCACTCCGCCTCCAAACACGTCATCAAAGCTGACAGCCTGACGCCTAGCGCTGGGGCTTCTGGGTAAAGATCGGGCGGAGCTGCACGCGTGTCGCCATCTGAAAGCAGACGCGCTGCAGGGTGAATGTGATCTAAACTACAGCGGGGCATGTGTGTGTGTCTGTGTGTAAGAGTGTGCGTGAATGAGTGTGTATGTGCCTGTGCGCCTGTGTGTGTGCGTGAGAGAGTGTGTGCGTGAGAGAGTGTGCGTGAGAGAGTGTGCGTGAGAGAGTGTGCGTGTGAGAGAGTGTGCGTGAGAGAGTGTGTGTGCGTGTGTGAGTGTGAGAGTGTGTGTGTGCGTGTGTGAGTGTGAGAGTGTGTGTGCGTGTGTGAGTGTGAGAGACTGTGTGCGTGTGTGAGTGTGAGAGACTGTGTGCGTGTGAGTGTGCGTGTGAGAGAGTGTGTGCGTGTGAGTGTGAGAGAGTGTGTGCGTGTGAGAGAGTGTGTGCGTGTGTGAGTGTGCGTGTGAGAGAGTGTGTGTGAGTGTGAGTGTGCGAGAGAGTCTGCGTGTGAGTGTGCGAGAGAGTGTGCGTGTGAGTCTGCGTGTGAGTGTGCGTGAGAGTCTGCGTGTGAGTCTGCGTGTGAGTGTGCGAGAGTCTGCGTGTGCGTCTGCGTGTGCGTCTGCGTGTGCGTCTGCGTGTGAGTCTGCGTGTGCGTCTGCGTGTGCGTGTGAGTCTGCGTCTGCGTGTGAGTCTGCGTCTGCGAGTGAGTCTGAGTCTGCGGGTGGGTTTGC